TCTTGGATAGGTTCATTCCTCTAAAACCCCTTACCATACATTTTTTACTAGCATCATTACATTGTTTGTAATTCTCAGTATTTACTGTTGTTTTTAATGATCTCTTTTCATACTAATTTCACGAACGTAACCCGTCTGTTTGTGTTGCGTGAATTCAGGAAGATACAAAACCATGAAATTCATAATTCTCGAACAATAAATTTTAATCATTGTATGGTTATCTAGAAGGCCCATTGGCTTTCGTCAACTTGTATCACTTGTGGCGTAGATGGGATATCCGTCTCCCAACCAGGTGATGATTTTACTGCGTGGCAGTTCCCTCCATCCAACTTTGTGGATGTGAAACATGGCCCTTAAGAATAGAGGATATTCGTATGTTATCAGTCTTCAAAACATTGACCGTGTGTTTGGGATCATCGAGCAACCATTATCTTGGTTAGGAATAGGGTACTAGGTAAGAATCGATTGATGAGGTAGTAAATCATCAACTTAGTTGGTTAAGACATGTGTTACGTATGCTGAACTAATACTTAGCGTTCTCTTGTTTTTATGCTTTCAAGCTAAGCTTATATAAATCGAAATGGTATAAATATCCGTTCTAAAAAAGATAGCTTTTCATGATACATCTAACAATTATTCTGATGCATACAACTTATTTGTTAAAAGTATAAACTGCACAGGTGAATAAAGACCATTACAGTACTGGTCACGAAGTTCAAACCATATCTTGTCAATTTCTTTATTTTTGATATAGCTAAGAAATTAATCGTTAGGTTTTCTTAATTTTGTCATACTTCCTATTAGTTTCATTATATTACGCTCCACTCCCTCTTTTAACAGGAGTGAACGAGAAATGAATGCTCAATTGAGGCGTGAGCAAGACTTAGCTTATGAGGCATCACTTGCTGAGGATCGAGCTAAAGTGGCTGCTCGAGAGGCACAGCAACGAAGTGCTGCCTTAGTAGCGGAACAGCTAGCCAAGGATGCAAAACGAAAGGAGGATCTAAAGAAAGCTCACATTAATCGCAAGCGTATATGGCAAAGTAGGTTACCACCACCACCTAAGTTTGAAGAGGGGTCTACAGTACAGCTATCATTCAAAATGCCACGTGGTTCCAGAGTTTCTCGCGTCTTCAACTTGAACGATTCTATCAAGGTAATTTTCAGTGATTTTTTTACAAAATATTTCATTTTGGATCATACCGTATCAAGTTATTCATCTGTACACTCCATAACATTAATCTTTCTTTTCCAGCTGCTCTACTATTTTGTATTATCTCAGGATGATTCACCAACAGAATTCGAGGTGCAATCCAATTTTCCTAAACGTATTATACCATGTCAACCATTTGAAGAATCTGATGTGGAAGATTACATAGATACTCCTGACAATAAGATGGATTGTGATGAACCTGAAGTGATTACAGACTGGTCCCGTAAATGTCAGAATGATCCACCATCATTTTTTGATATTGATTTGACAAGGCCAGAAATGTTGTTTGTTCTCAACAAAGATGCATGATATGAAGTTTTGAGCTTCCTACCCTTCCAACACCAATGTAGCTATTTCTTTATGGATAAAGCTGTTCCATTGTTAAATAAGTTCATGTATTATGTTTTTGATGTAGTATTATGTCCTCCAAGTACGTACAATAATAATAGTAATATTATTATTATAAATGACTTGAGCAGTCAGGATTTCATTTCCTTATACAGTTATTCAAATGTATTTTTCTCCGATTATTTTATTCATACACTTATCATTTTGTTACTCTGGTCTCACATACAACATGACATATTTTGCTTGTAATAAGTCCCATTAGCATATAACATTCCTTATGCACAGTTGTGGTTTCTCATGAAGACAGACTCCCAACCGTTGACCTGTTGTAACATGTTTATCCGCTTCAATATTTTTGTGAGCTGTTTCGAGGTAATATTGAAGTTCACTTTTAGACACCATGTGATTACTTGTATCAAAAGTCTTTCCCCATGTATTTTTTTCAAATATGCACACGAATTTCGTGCAAATTAGTTCAACTGACAGTTTTTATTACTATAATGATGATAATCACTTGTATTTTATTTGTGTACAGTACAAGCATTGAATTGCTTTTATTTCTTATCCATCGACTTTTTGTAAAGTAGATTTCTACCTTTTGGTTTCAATTCAATGTAAATGAGTACTTTATGGTAACCTGTCATTTAATCGTCAGTCGTTTCCTTTCATGCAGTCTTTATACGCAGTTTTCCAATCACTACCATGCTAGGATTTCAAAACGTGTTAATTAAGACATATCGTAGATAACATGTATAGTCACTTTATATTGGTGAAATGAAATTCAACTTGTCTGTTTAGAACTGTTTTTTATAGTCATGCATTCTAAGTTATTTTGCCAATATAACCTTGTTACGCGAAAATTAATAATGTTAAACAGCAACCGAACCAGCCACCCATTTGCTTAATGTTTAGTGCTTGAATCACTGACATCTGTTGAAGATCATCACTTATTCCTATGAGATCTAAGAATTGTTTCTTTAGCCACATTTAATTACGAGTCATATCTATAAGAAATGCGATGTAAATCAAAGTATCTTTCTTACTATCTGTTTAGGATGGTTAATTAACATTCCATTCCTAATATTAAACCTCATTTATTTGTAATAAAAAAGATAAGTATCATGGAAAGACACTTGTAAGTATAGCTGTAAGAGAAATCTAGATCATCAACATAACATGCACGACCTACAGAAAAATTCACAGTAATTAACCATATCTTCGGAAACTCGTCAAATTAACGACGGATTGAGATTTTGACAGCCAACTTCAGTAATGTAAGACGTGGGATAGAAGGTCGGTCGGCAACAACATAGAACTTCGTACGTACATACATCAGTTCGAGTTGCCATATCACCTTAGCACAGAGATACAATTGTCGATTCAAATCCCGTAGTGGTAGAGGTAGTAAAAGTATAAGCAGTAATCGGTAAGATTAGGACTTGAAAATGCTATTCAACAAGTATAATAAAATGAAATAAATCTGGAAAGAGGAAAAAAGGGACACGAGGGATTCAGAAGAATTTGGGAGAACACAAAGAGTGGATGCCCCTGCGCCATTGCAAATGATTTTGAGCAGTCATTCAGGGTCTTTAACCATCGGTTGCTATCATTTCGCGGACTCCAACCAAGTAGTTTACACCTACCAACATGACTCAGTCCACTTGTCCACGACTTCGAGAATTTATGCCATGTTTTGGCCACCCCTTAACTTTCTTCCAACCTACTCCTACACCATAAAACATCGCACGCCGAGGCAGTCGGTGGTTGGGCATATGTAACCCATGTCCCAGTCATCTCAACTGATGAAGTATCACTACTTCATCAATTGATTTGCCATCCTTACCTAGTACCCGTTTTCTAACAATTGCATTACTTACTCGGTGGTTCCAGGATATACGAGCAATGCTTCCAAGACTCCTATGATCGAATACTAGGAGTTGGAGGGTTAAATAAGCTAAAAAACAAAGTTGAGTTTATCCTAGTGCAAAAAATGACTGAGTTCCACTAGTTGTAGCCAAATAAGTATCATTTCTTAGGTGTAAACATAAGTCGTTCCTAGTGTGGAGTTAGCTTGCCTCTATCGGCTTACAGCTAGCTTTTCTGTGATGTTTTAGCTAAGTGCTAACGGCGCTTAGACTAGTAAACTATACCGCATAAGTGTTCGTAAGGGAAGCTGCAGCGATTGACATTTTAATCTTAATTAATCTATACCAAGAGATTTTATTTTCCGTAGGAATGTAGTTGGTGGCCACTTTGCTGTTATCGTTAGTCCTCTTCGGTAGCTAAAACTTCCGGAAACCTTTCATGTAGTTTTCAGCGTTGGCCTCGTTGCCACTGTTCAGTGAGATGTTTGATCATACAAATTGTTGGATTTTTCTCATATCTCCGACTGTCAGTTTGAGGATAACTAAGAATTTCATATACCCTTCCTTATCATCATTATAGAGCTTGGCACAAATGTGTGTTGCCTCAGGATGCCACGCCACAGTAGCACGAGATGAAAAGCGAGAAATCGAAGTAATGTCGTAGTAATTTTAATGAGATATAAAGAGTTCATCATTTGTGTGTGGGCTGTGATACTGCCCGGGTGTCCAAACCGAAGCAGGTGGTTATCTTAGGGGCCACTCCCCGAGCCTTTGACCTAAAGGTCTAACCCACAAGGCAGTGGAGCATCGTAAGGAGATGCAGTCCCATGGTAGCCGGTGACCAACGATTGGTTCATACACCATTTGTTCCCGCAGGATACTGGAGCCCATGTGCACCATTGGTTTGGAATCCGGTTAAAGCGCCGGACATTCGCTTTTCGTCCTCTCATTTTCGTAAACAACACCCCCGCTACGAGAAGGCAATGAGTAGGACTTCCCTGGCAGAGGCTGTATACGCGTGGCCGTGTGAGAGTATTTCGAAAGGGAGAGCGGACTCTCCCCACTCTCGGCCGTACCAGGGCATTCAGGGGGCAATGAGACTAAAAAATGGATCGTTCAAAAAATGCAATGGGAATATATGTATGGAGTGTTAGGATTGAAGATCAACAGAAAATGGAGGGAACTATTTTGAGTGATCAGCTGTCTCTCCAAGTCTTCGAACACTGATCGCGTATATTACATAGACCCCAACCCGGTAGTCTGGAATTACCAACATGGCTTAGATCGACGATCAAGGACTTGTTTCCGTCTTTCTTAGCTTTTCAACCTCCTGCTACACTGGAAAGCATGGCTCGTCGAGGTAGGGGGTAGTTAGACACCCATAGATTATATCCCAACCATCTCAGTCGGTGGAAATTTACAGATGAATCAACAGGTTTACCGCCTTAGTCTCAACATTGCTCATTTGTTCGTTTCACGATATGCGAGTAACAAGTCGAAGATATTTACAATAAATAACCTGCAGCCTGCATTGATTAATCTCACAAAAGCAATCAAGTTGAAAAAACAGAACTCCATAAGTTGTATTTTTTATTAAAAAAAAACTAACAAAATGCAATCTTTAAATTCAATAATAGGTTTTTTCTGGCAACTTTTCACAAAGCAATAGTTATTAGTATTAAGGTGATCGGGAATGTATCAAAAATACAGCTAATATAAACATTTTGAAGCTGTGATTTTTTGAAAAGTTATCGTCGCAGATTTCTTATGTCATCATCTAATTCACCAATTGAACTTTTTAAATATTCCCATTGTTCCAAATTAAGGGAAATTCCTGTGAACAAAATTTAAGGGTACATGATAAATAAGTAATCACACAATTTACCAAGAACAATTCTACGTACCCGACAATGAGAATGTTTTTTAAAGGTTAACATCCGGTTACCTGATCTAAATTTGTTATAACAGGCTTGAGTCTGCAAGATATGAGTCAACTTAAGGTCCATAAGTTATATGTTTGAACCTCATCTCAACTACAACAGTTTATGTACCCTTATTTCATCATTAGCTATCACACAAGGGGTGGCTTAACGAAGGATATATAGACCACCACTGAATAAATTATTTATGTGCTGGTGAAACTTTGAACCATATTAGTCAGTCATAATTGATGTACGACCCGAAATAAGTATCCTTAGACCTCAACTGCCATATCATATCGTTTTCCACCATTAATTGCGACTTAATCCATGGACTGTAAGCAGGAAGTCAGCACTTTTCTACGGGACTCAGACCACTAGCTGTGCTGTCCCAACTTGAACTGACGCAAATGTATCAGGCTGCAGGTTTCATATAACTGACTGAGATCACTAATTGGTGATTTTTCTACACTGCATTAAGTTAAGCAACTACATATTGCAATAGCCTTATACGTAACAAAATCTGATATTTATAGAAAGCAAAGTGCATGTATCGATATGCTGAATTTACTGTTTAGTTTAATTTTTTATATGTGTTTAGCCGCACATACATTGTATTTCTATAATTGGTAGGATGAGTTCGCTTACCTTTCTTTCCAGGTTTTAATTCTCCACTGGATTTGTCTTCATAGTATTCCCTTATATCGACAAACGCTTTTCCTCTGAACTCTCTTACGCACGCGAACTTTTTTCCAGTTAAGTCTATTAGCTGGTCTCCACCTGAAGTAGTCACGTGTGATGACTTTGTGGAGCCACTTGACTTGTTAGGTTTTTTAGCTACAACAGGCTAAAAGTACAATAAATAATGTATAAAAATACCTCCTCGAGATCTGAGAGGGAAGAATCAGATGATTCATCTTTTGTGTTGGATTTGCGTTTGTTAGACATGACAGGTGATCCCTTTAAGGATTGGGTAAGATGCACCTACTGAGAGACGGCAGGGGTGCAGTGATTGAAGCACTGAGTTGAAGAACTTGAAAAAATTCGGTTATCTGTAAATATAAATCGCAAGAAACATTTGAAATAATGAAAAACACTGAAGTTTGGTTATTTACTTGAGATCTATTTATCAATAGTTTGAATTCGAATATACTTATAGATCCAGCCAACCAGATGTTACGTTAACTTCTATCTAGAAATGGTGGTTCAAATTTTCTTTATTTTAATCGACAATGGCTTTTTAGTTGGGTTAATCCGTAGAAATGTGAGCGCTCTTCACGATTATACTTTTGGTTACAAGAAAGAATCTAAACAAGTAGTATTTATGAATGTCTTTGTAAAACATCGCTTCACCGGTAATCCTACATATTGCTGATAGATAGTGGGTCAGGTACTCTCATCATCAGCTAAACTACATTTCAATTAGTCAAACATTTGTGTTCATTATGTCTTCGGCCAGAATGTATGACTGAGATGTTTATGCTACATCTAGTTAAGTTGTATCGGATTTTCTCCTTCTTCTTCATGAATCACTTTACTACAGAATATACAAAGTCATCTGAACGGTGTGTTATTATTGACTCGTTCGATCAAGACAAATGATGGTAGTTATATCAATAACCAATTTGGAGAAAAATTACAGAAATCTGGGGTATTAAATTCTTGAGGAGTAAGTTTGGTAAACCTTGAAATTAAATGGGATGAATCCTGTCTAAAAGAACCAAAACACAAGTTTTGTACATAACGGACTGCCTGTTTTATCTATCTATTAAAGCCTTCTGTACAATAGAAGCGCACACACCACACTTAGTAATTTTGACACGAAAGTTTCCAGATGAGACTTGTGAACCAGAAATATCAATTTTCCAGGTTACTCTTACGCTACTCATTACCATGTACCGTTAATCGAAACTTCTCATTAATGCACCTAATGAAACATTTGCAGACATGAAACAACCCAATATTTGCTGACAATACTTTGCCTCTTCTAAATTAAATGCACTCAATAAATAATAACTTCGTACTAAACCAGGGGTTATATCAATCGGGCATTTATAAATCTACATTAAGTTAAATCTGTAACAATGATAGATACTGATAAAAGCGAGCTGAGTCTGCTTGTTGTCATTATTACATACCATCTTACAACCGCTAAAATTAAGCCTGAATTTGCGCCCCCAAATGCCTTGGTACGACCGAAGATGGGGAAAGTCAGCTCTCGCTCTCGAAGTGTTCTCACATGGTGACGCGTATAATAACCGCTAGGGAAGTCCAATTCACTACCTTCTCGGGGCAGAGGTGTTGTTTACGAAACTTAAAGGACAAAAAGAGAATGCCCAGAGCTTTAATCGCGTTGATGGATATGGATGATTCACCTAGGGGAGTTGAGAAATCCTGATTCCAAAAAATGGTGCACATAGGCCCCAAGATCCTGAGGGAACAAATGGCGTATTAACCAATTATTGGTCACCGGTTACCATGTGACTGCATCTCCTGACGTAGCTCCACTGCCTCGTGGATCAGATCCTTGGGTCGAAGGCTCCGGGTGTGGCACCCTAAGAAAACCACCTGTTTTGGTCTGACCACTCGAGCAGTATCGCAGCCCACACATAAATCACATGACTTGTGCATTCGGAGCCTTTGTACCAATATTTATGTGTTCCAATCAATAAACAAGTCTGAAATTACAGCAAGGTATGGATAAGCAGCGACCTCAAAACTACGACCAACTGCAAGGCTGCTGCGGCCAAAAGTTTTAGAGTATTATGGGACATTAATAGGTCTTCTCAGCACTTGGACGAAGTGCTTGGAGTATTATACCCGACTTTCATGAGGCCACGTTTGGAATATGGGATTCAGGCAGCGAGCCTGCTTCAAGACTGAGGCGGATATGCTGGAACGAGTCCAACGACGAGGGACTATAACCGCGATAGGTCTCTCCAGCCTATCTTACGGAGAAAGACCGAGACACCTCAACTTATTTTCGTTATGGTACCGCATACTGAGCGATGACCTTGGCAATAATATGTATTATCTTTTCCTTCTGTCTAGGACTGATCATTACAGAAGAAATTCTAAGAAAGTTCAAAAAACCGAGATCAAATCGTTTATATCTGGAGTTCTGTTTCTCGCACTGAGTAACTGGAATTCTCTGCCAGGACAAGTAACATCAGCACCTTCTATTGATATATCCAAAGTGAGATTTTTATACTGTGTAAATAATCTCCCAAGTATAGAACAGTCTCCAATGTTATTATACGCTGACGATGTTAAAATCTGTTGAGAAATAACCAGAGACGCAGACGCATGCGCATTTCAGGCCTACTTAGATAATATGATTAACTGGTCTAAAGAGTGGCTGAGGCTTATCAACGCAGCAAAGTGTGTCTACATATAGTTTGGGGATACAAAGGTTAATGGGTACAGCATAGGGGAAGTGCCAGTACCAGTGGTCCGGCCTCAGAAGGATCTTGGGGTGGCAGTGATTCATGATCTTAAGACGACGGCCTAATACCGGGAGGTCGCAGCTACGGGGTTTAGGGCCCACTATGTTTTAAAACGGACATTCACTAAGTTAGATACTACTGCAGTATACACAACCTTGGTGAGAACTAAGTTTGAGAAATGCGTTCAGGCTGTAAGCCCCTGTTTAAAAGGTGACTAGGATATCTTGGAAAAAGTACAGAGGGCAGCTGCCCGTGCAATTCCAGAATTCTGGGGTTTACCATACAGAGTGGCTGGACAAGCTGGACCTCTTTACTCTGTCCTATCGCAGACTAAGGGGAGGTCTAATTTTGATCTACAGAATACTGAGAAATGATTTTGGACCTAACGTATCCTCTCTTTTTCTTTCCACTAGATCGGGACATCTTAGAGGACATAGCATGCGAGTAGAAAAGTCAAGAACAAACAAAATACCCGTGGCATACAAGCTTTCACACTGAGTCATCAATACTTGGAACCTGTTACCCGAATCAGTGGTGTCCGCACCTTCAACTGACTCACTCAAGAGAAGACTGGACACTCACAGAAGCATACTAGCAAAAGAATAACACAAGCCATAGGTCCTTTGTCCTTATTACACAAATCTGAGTCTGGACCGCTACATTGTTACAAACTGCAAGGATTAGTATAGGTCGATAGACCTATTATGTTTACTACTGAAGATTGAGGTATTTTCACCGCACAAACCCAATCTCTTAATTTTGGGGAAGCCGCTGTAGAAATTTCCGGGTAACTGGTACAAAAACCCCAAAATTTCCTCAAATCTGAGGAAATCTCCGATATTTCCCCTAAACCTTGGTGAAGGTCATTTGACTTTGGGGGATTCCCCAAAATTTCCCCAGACTTGGGAGATTAGGATAAAGATAAATTAGACGATGTCTAGGCATTGGGGAAACTTTGGTCTGGTAAATAATCAGCCCACCGAATAATATAAAAAATAGCACACGGATGACGTGCGCAGATGTCTCGTTTGCGACAAACCTCCCGAGTAAATCGGCAGCACGGGACGACAAAAACCCCACCCACTCAAAGATACCCGCCGTTTTGTTCAGTCTTCACTTGTTCGGGTAGGGCGTTCCAGCCATTGACTACTCGATGGGAAACATGGGACGCCACTTTAAGTTTATTAGATCGCGCTTTACGAACTTCCTTGCTATGATCTTGGAGGTTATTAACACCCAAATGATAGTTAAAGATACGAAATGCCAGTATAAGGTCACCTCGAGTCTTACGATACGACAAGGGGGAAAGGTTTAAGCTTTCTGAGTGCCCATCGTAAGAGAGTTTAGACTGACCCTTCACTAGTTTTGTTCCCACACTCTGGACACGCTCAAGTGAGTTAGTATCCAATACCAGACATGGGCTAGCTGCTTATATACAATACTCTGAATGTAGTCTTACATAGGTGTGATATAAAATTCGAAGCATTTCCTTGTCAAAGCATATGAATGCTCGACGAAGTGACCATAATGCACGAAAACCTTTGACAGGAGCTGCGTTGCAATGCGTAGTTGTTTTCAAGTACTTACTTACTTACTTACGCCTGTTACTCCTAATGTAGCATAGGCCGCCGACCAGCATTCTCCAACCCACTCTGTCCTGGGCCTTCTTTTCTAGTTCCATCCAATTGTTCATTTTTCTCATGTCTATTTCCATTTCTCGGCGTAATGTGTTTGGTCTTCCTCTTTTCCTTTAGCCTTGAGGATTGCATGTGAGGGCTTGTCTTGTAACGCAGTTGGGTGCTTTCCTAAATGTGTGTCCTATCCACTTCCAGCGCTTCTTCCTGATTTCTTCCTCCGCTGGGATCTGGTTTGTTCTCTCCCACAGTACGTTGTTGCTAATAGTGTCCGGCCAACGGATCTGAAGTATTTTGCGTAGACAATTGTTAATAAACACCTGTATTTTCTGGATGATGGCTCTCGTAGTTCTCCAGGTTTCTGCCCCATACAGTAGAACTGTCTTGACATTTATATTGAAAATGGTGACTTTGGTGTTGGTTGACAGTTGCTTTGAGTTCCAGACTTTCCTCAGTTGTAAATATGCTGCTCTTGCTTTACCGACCCGCGCCTTCACATCTGCATCAGATCCACCCTGTTCATCAATGATGCTGCCCAGATATGTGAAGGTTTTTACATCTTCCAAATGTTCTCCGTCAATTGTGATTGGATTGGTGCATTCTGTGTTGTATCGGAGAATCCTGCTTTTCCCTTTGTGTATGTTGAGACCTACTACTGCTGCTGAGGCTGCTGCCACACTGTTCGTCTTATCCTGCATTTGTTGTTGCGTTTGGGATAGAAGGGTCAGATTATCTGCGAAGTCTAGATCGTCCAATTGCATCCTAGATGTCCACTGTATCTTGTGTTTCCCTTCAGATGTTGATGTCTTCATGATCAAGTCGATCACCATGAGAAAGAGAAAGGTTGAGAGTAAGCAACCTTGCCTAACACCGGTCTTTACCTCGAACGAAACTGTCAATTGTCCTCCACACACAATTTTGCAGTTTAATCCATCATAGGAATTCTACATGATATTGACTATCTTCTGAGGCACGCCGTAGTGTCGAAGAAGTTTCCATAGTGTTGTTCTGTCCATGCTATCAAATGCCTTTTCGTAGTCAATGAAGTTGATGTAGAGTGATGAATTCCATTCAATTGATTGTTCCACAATGATCCGTAGAGTTGCGATTTGGTCTGTACACGATCTATCCTTACGTAATCCTGCCTGTTGGTCACGAAGTTGGGCGTCTACGCAGTCCTTCATCCTGTTTAACAGTACCCTGTTGAAGACTTTTCCCGGTATTGAGAGAAGAGTGATGCCCCTGTAGTTATCACACTTGCTGAGATCGCCTTTCTTCGGTATTTTGATCAGAAGTCCATCTTTTCAGTCTGTTGGTACTTGTTCCTCATCCCAAATCTTATTGAAGAGAATGTGGAGTATCCTTGCGGTTACCGCTACGTCTGCTTTCAGTGCCTCTGCTGGAATGTTGTCCGGTCCTGCTGCTTTGCCACTCTTGATTTGTCTGATGGCCATGCTGATTTCTTCAATTGTTGGTGGGCCAACATTGATTGGGAGGTCCGTAGGTGCTGCTTCGCTGTTGGGTGGGTTCAGTGGAGCTCGTCGATTCAAGAGTTCTTTGAAGTGTTCTACCCGCCTGTTTCGTTGCTCTTCAATGTTGGTGATTACCTTGCCTTCCTCGCTTTTCACTGGTCGTTCTGGTTTGCGGCGATTTCCAGAGAGTTTCTTTGTCGTGTCATACAATTGTCTCATGTTTCCTTCTCTTGCAGCCTTTTCCGCCGTCGTTGCTAAATCTTCCACATATTTGCGTTTGTCAGTTCTGATGCTCCTCTTCACTTGTTTGTTTACTTCTGTGTATTCAGCTTGTGTCTTGGCTTTTTCTGCTCTTGTTCGACTGGTATTGATTTCTGCTTTCTTTTCCTCCCTTCTTGAATCTTATCCAGTGTATCAACAGTGATCCATTCATTGTGATGGTGCATCTTGTGACCCAGGACCTCATGACATGTTGAAGTGATTGCCTCTTTGATCCCCTTCCAGTTGCTCTCCACAGTAGTTCCTTCTCCATTGAGTAGATCATGAAAGGCCTGGAACCTATTGCTGAGGACTATCTTGAATTTGTTGAGTTTGTTAGTATCCTGAAGAAAGGCCGTATTGAACTTTTGTGATATTGTCCGCCCCGTTGTCCAGTGCTTCTTGAGTTTCAATTTCATCTTGGCGACCAGCAAGTGATGATCTGATGCTATATCAGCTCCTCTCTTAGTTCTCACGTCCTCTATAGTCCTCCTGAGCGTTTTGTCGATGCAAATATGGTCGATTTGGTTTTGCGTGGTGTGATCCGGTGAAGTCCATGTGGTTTTGTGTATGCGTTTATGTGGGAATATGGTGCCGCCTATGACCAGTTTATTGAAGGCACATAGGTTTGCAAATCTCTCACCATTTTCGTTCCTTTCTCCCAGTCCGTGTCGTCCCATGATGTCTTCATATCCAGTGTTGTTCGTTCCAACCTTGGCATTGAAATCTCCCATCAGAATGGTCAGGTCCTTTGTTGGACACTTCTCGATGATTGACTGCAGCCTATTGTAGAATTGATCTTTAGCGTCTTCATTGTACTCGTTGGTAGGCGCATAGCATTGGATGATGTTCATTGAAATGCCCTCTTTCTTTGTTCTGAAGGAGGCTTTGATGATCCTTGGTCCATGAGATTCCCATCTTATAAGTGCATTTTGCACTTGTTTAGACAGCATCAATGCAACTCCTTGTGTATGTGGAGCATTTTCTTCTTCATGGCCGGAGTATAACAGAAGCTCTCCTGAAGTTAGTCGTTGTTGTCCAACTTGCGTCCAATGTGTTTCACTGATCCCAAGTACCTCTAGGTTGTATTTCCTCTTTTCTGCAGCAATTTGGAAGGCTCTCCCGGTGTCCCACGTTGTACGAACATTCCATGTACCTAAATAAATGGTTGCTCTGGTTGTCAGAAGGGGCATTGGCCTCGTGAATTCCGAAGGAACTCGGCTTTTACCATGAGGCGTCATAACTCTTTCAAATGAAGACCTTCAAACTCCCAGGGCAGAGTTCAAATGGTTTGAATTACTTTTTCTGGTAAGCGTTTTTTTAGCGAGTTAGTTTTCTACGGATTGGGGATGCTAACCTCATGCCCAACCCTCCTCCTTTATCCAAGCTTGGGACCGGCAGTAGCTCCCGGAGGGACTCCAGGCGGAGTTTTGTTTACAAGTAGTGACCCATTATTACTCCTAAGTCTTTATCTTCTTGAACGCATGGAAGAGGTTTACCATCGATTATGTAATGATCACTATTACAGTGACCGATGTTGATTAGCACACCCTCCCTAGAATTTATTTCTAAGCCTCGACCCCGAGGCCCCCTAACTAATTCGTCTAAGTCAGCTTGGGCATCAAAATGATCAAACTCACTTTTCATTGTTCTCCAGATTTTCACGCCATCCGCAAACAATAATGTCGACGACTCAAGCAACGGCGCTAACTTGTTCATGTAGAGAAGGAAGAGCGGAGCGACTAAGATGGTGCTTTGGGGTACACCACTCTTGACCGGCTTCGAATCGGATAGCGTTCCATTGACCTTCAGTCCTTATTTGCGGTCACATGAAAAGTTTCCTATCCACTCCTGTACAGTAACCATTATTCCGAAGCTCGAGAGATTTTGCATAAGACCTAAATGTGAAACCCTGTCAAATGCTTTGCTGAAATCTATGAATATCACATCGACAGACAGACCGTTATATATGGCTCCTGTTCAATCCTCTCTCGCAATAAGTTACTCAAGCATGAATGCATGTTACGAAACCTATGTTGTTCGGGAGTTAACAGATTGTGTGGATCTATGTGATTCAGCAACTTAACCGAAAATATATTTTCAAGTAACTTAACGATTATGCTGGTTAGACTGACAGCCCTGTCTCTGACCATCCTTAAATATAGGACTGACTATAGCGTCTTTCCAACCTCTAGAGGGTTGAGCGAGTGAAATAGACATGTTGAAGAGCACGCGATATAATTGTTGTTACAGAAACTTGATCCAACTTAGATATAGAATGTTCTCACATCATTACAGCCTATATCTGTATTAGAAGTATTTGTAACAATACACGTAGAGTAGAGTTCGCTAAAATAGTTTGAAAAAGTCTCAGCTTCTGCCCGATCTGATTCCGCTTGTAATTCTGAATTTTCGTGTACCAGTAAGGGGGAATACCATCCCTACGTTTTTTTCTCCCATTTAACAGGGTGATCTTATCCGCAACGCAACCAATGTAAACTTAATGTATCGCACACTGTCATTTGTGCGTTCAAGTAACCACATATTTTGTCATTTCATAATGTATTTTTAATTAAATAACTAGATTATGTATTTAATTTTTCTCTGTTTTTAATTTTTATTCGCCACGTCCGACTGCGTTACACTGTACGTCCATTGCACGCTGAAATGATATCTCAAGTCATAGTGATTTTATTCACATAGTTGATTGTTTCCAGATAGACTGTCAGTGCATGATTTTACTGAAGAAAGGTTTGTTGTACTGTAAACTGTGTTTCTATGATCAACT